TGTGTGTGTGTGTGTGTGTGTGTGTGTGTACACTGCTTGGATCAGCTTTTGCACATTTTGGAACTAATGTGGATTCTGGACTCAAAGAACTTAAAAAAGCAAACTTATTTATTTAACTGTCAAAACAAAAAGACAGATGGCAGCAAATACCTAAATTTAAAGTACAATTAGTTATATGGAATTATGAGGTTATTTGACAGAATAAATGGCAACAGCAGCAGATTGCTGTAMTGTTTCTGGTGCAACCTGGGGGAAATATCTGTAGAAATATTACATTATTTCGGCCAAAGTACAGTCATTTTGTAAATCAAAGTTATTATTGGTAAACAGGTTCAATTAATGTTTTTATGAACTATTGATTTGAAATATTGGAGTGGTTCCTAAAGAGCAAAATCCTCTCTGGAAACAGGACGCCTTGGAAACAGCCAATATTAGCTCATCAGTATGATCCAAGTGGACCCATTTCCAAAGCTTCACAGCATGTATTTYCATCTCTAAATCAGGTTTTCTTGTGCTTTTTTATTCAATTTCAGGTCACATTTAACATCACCATCACATCCAAGGGTTGTCCAAAACTGGGCAAGCAGGAGACCATTAAGATAAAGCCTTTGGGTTTCACAGAGGAGGTGGAGATAATTCTCAAATTCATCTGTGAGTGTGACTGCCACAAGACTGGCATCAAGAACAGTGACTTGTGCCACTTTGGTAATGGTACCTTTGAGTGTGGAGCCTGCAGGTAAATGGGTTTCCAGTCTTCACAAGTCATTTGTTCTTAGTCCTCAAAAATCACTTGGAACCACAACTTTTACCCTCTGCGTCAGGTGTAATGAGGGCCGAGTGGGCAGAAACTGTGAATGCAGCAGCAATGACGTGGCCACAGAGGACATGGACCGGAACTGCCGCAACGGCACAGACATCTGTAGCAACAAYGGGGAGTGCGTCTGCGGCATGTGTGAGTGCAAGAAGCGAGAGAACCCAGACGAGAGGTACAGCGGCGAGTTCTGCGAGTGTGACAACTTCAACTGCGACCGCTCTGGAAACAAGCTTTGTGGAGGTGAGAATGTTGATGCCACCAGGAAGCTTGGGCTACGATCACACCGTGTGACCCCTATCAGATGTTCTCATGACCGTTCTGGATGAATGAGTGTCCTGTTCCAGTCGCCAGCTGATCAACTGGTGCATCCCTAACTGTAATGCATCAAATTTGAGATTATCGGTAACACTTAAMATAACTATACCTTATTTAACCTTACTTAATCATTAATAATTGGACTTGCGACCTGTCCAGGGTGTACCCCGCCCCTCGCACTGTGACAGCTGGATATGGGCACCAGTGACTCCCGTGACCCTGAAAGGAATAAGCGGGTATAGGTAATGGATGTATGCGTGGATAATCTGTAAGAAATGGTTAGTTAACCTTGAAAAGATTGTTAATTAAGAATGATTCATATTTAATAAGCTATAAATTAACATATTTAATAATGATCTATCCATAAAGGCTAATTACTACCATAACCAACCATTGTTTATTAAGGATTTATAACTCATGAATTAACTACTCTATACTGTGTGAATGTATTTAAATACTCATATAAATGTACTTTAGCCTTTATGTGTGAAGCATTAAAAAATGTGTTAATTTATAGCTTAAAAGTATGAATCATCATTAATTAATGATATTTTTAAGGTTAACTTACCATTTGTTGATGATTAAGTAAGGCTAAATAAGGTGTAGTTATTATAAAGTGTTAACGGATTTTCTAACAACTTATCAARTATTACAGACTTGCTGTCTAACAATAATATTGGCATTTTGGGTCAGTGTTATGTCACGTGGCACGTTGTGATTCACAGCTCTAGTTCAGGTGATGTTCAGAAATAGTGGCGACTTGTTGAAGCTGTCATCATCTCTGGTTCTCAGGTCACGGACGCTGTGAGTGCCGAGTGTGCGTCTGTGAACCCATGTGGTCTGGAAGTGCCTGTGACTGTTCTCTGGACAACAGAACGTGTTTGGCCAAGAACAAGCAGCTCTGTAACGGCAGAGGAGTGTGTGAATGTGGCAGCTGCAAGTGCAATGACCCCAAATTCCAGGGCTCCACGTGCGAAGAGTGCCCGACCTGTCCGGCAGTCTGCACAGAGCACAAGTAAGAAGGAAAATCAGGAATGGATCAGTTTACACAGTTTGACAAGTTTGTTTGAAATAACTTAAAAGTATATTTTTTGTTTGTTTTGTTATTTTTTTTTTCATTATTAACTGTTTTTTGCAGAGAGTGCGTTGAGTGTCGAGCGTTTGGCACGGGTGAAAAAAAAGAGACGTGTGAAAAAGAATGCAGTGACTTCAAGCTGATTAAAGTGAAGACCAGAGACAAGATGCCGCAGCCCAACGACGCCTCCTACCCTGTCATGCACTGCAAAGAGAGGGACGCTAATGACTGCTGGTTCTACTACACGTACGCCGTCAACAATAACACGGAAAAGGTGGTCCATGTGGTGGAGGAGCCGGGTGAGCAGAGCGCTGAACTTGGCTGTGGAGAGGGTTCTGAAACAGACAAAGCTAATTACAGGGGTTATAGTTCAAAAATAGATGGTTTTATTTATGTAACACTCTGGTGCTGTTTCAGAGTGCCCAACTGGTCCTGACATAGTCCCTATCGTGGCCGGCGTGGTCGCCGGAATCGTCCTGATTGGCTTGGCCCTGCTGCTCATCTGGAAGCTGCTGATGATCATCCACGACAGGAGGGAGTTTGCCAAGTTCGAGAAGGAGAAGATGAACGCCAAGTGGGATACGGTGAGTGTCTGGTACAGCGTCGAGCAGAACAAACGTCACAGGTTTGGTTGAGTTCATTTAAACGTGGAAAACAGGTTGCAGCTCGACCTCTGTGTTGATCTGTCCACTGTGACGGGATAAAGTCGTGAAGATAAGTTGTTGCGCTTTAGCAGCAGATGAGATTCACAGACATGTTTATGTCATTACAAGGAGCCTCGCTCCTGTTCTGCGCCGTCTCACAGCTGCAAAGACAGACTTGAGGTTTGTTGCCTTTGAACGGTGCTCAACAAGGAGGAAAAATGTTAGACCTCTGTGGACTTTTTTGGGAATGCTATGCACAGAGAGCATAACGAAACTTTTCCAAGGAGGAGCCACAGCTTCTGCCCTCCCTGCTTCCTTCCTCCTGTCACATTATCTGCCAACATCAATATGACACAAAGCTGGAGTTCAGATACATTCGTGTGCAGGAAGACTCCACCATCTAGTGGTAGAAGTTGGTTGCAGCACAGTGAAAAAGAGAGTTTGATGGTGCATCTGTTTCTAATTAACACTCAGTGTTGGGGCCGCTCTCGCAGGGCAGGCTTTGTCCCTGCAGCTCTTTAATTTGACAAAATGAGAGACTGTCAGTGAACTGCTTGAAGACTAATTGWCAAGATAAAAACAGCCTAAAGGGATGTTAAAGGCACTTCATGATCTTTCTCCAGCTTTCCTTTTATGTTTCAAACTGTTGTTATCTGTAGCCTAGGTTTTTATAAAATAGATCATAGCAATTTTAAAGTGTCACACTTTTAGACAATTAATCTTTTAAAAACTAAGAGCAAATCATTAATGTAATTTCACTTCATCCCCCCTTTTCCCCCCCAATTTATCCTCTTCTTCATAAGCTGTTTTCACACATGGACTACAGTCCTGAATACATTTAAATATGTTCCACAAGGTGTTGATATTAACTCAAACAAGCTTTCAAGGAGACACTATAACCAGCTCTGATGTGCTGCAAACACTGACTTCAACACAAAGAATGCACAATGCCTAACTTTTCTCCATTTTYGTGCATCAATCTGACTATTTACTTAATCTCAGAGTCATTTCCACAAAGTAAATAGCACTAATGACATGGCAGAACAAACACTCTCATCAAATTCAGCTGGTCTCAGCAGTTTGCATTCTTTTCACATTGGATCACCAATGCGCTCACTACACCATGAAAATCTGACCTCCTGCCACAAATACAGCAGGCACAGAGGTGACCAACAGAAAAAGAGATTGTTTTCTCAATGTTAGGTTAGGATCTTGGGGTGGGGATGATATGCAAATTTRACTTTTTTGAATTTTATATCRTGTTAAAATGTCATTCTCTCATCAACAAMAAACACAGAGTGTTGCTTTGACTCAGTCATGCATGTTAGAGAAATCCTCAAATCTCCTGTGGTAGCCATGTGGAGCTGCCTAAAAATGCTTGCTGGTACAAAGCTCCGCCTATTTACACAAAGCTCCTCCCTGGAGCTCAGCCTACAGCCAAGCTCCCACCCCACCACTGAAGCATTGTTGTGAAGACGTGWAGTGGGAGTGTTGGAAATGGTAGGAGGTTTTTAAAGAGGCCAATTTCTAGGTGTTTTGACTATGATGCAAAGTGAATTTTATTTTTGATACATATATACAGCATTTTCACAACAAGTGAAKGTAACTGAAYTATATGTGCCTGRAAGAGAGGTTGAATTATACCTTTACTGACAGGTCTGCCCACTTTGAACTCGTACTCCTGTTCCTCTGTTCCTTCTTGTGATACACAAGAAATGTCACACTAACTGTTGCAGACAGTGTTGATCTTTGAGAATCAGGCACTTTTAGCCCCGGCAGTTGTTTAACTAAACATGGACAGTTTTTCATCTAAACGTATGAAKAATGGCTCGTTTAAATGTGAGCCAACTGAGGCAGCACAGTTTGGAACAACCATTTCCTTTGCGARAACTTCAAAAATTAGACAGATTTACAACATCCTAGTTTGTGCCCTCAAAAGGCAAGCAGTCCAGTTGGTGAATTCAGACCTCTGGGTTTTTGCATCATACCTTCCATMCCAGGAAAGTTAGAGAAACACCCCCTCGCCCCTCATATTCATGTGTGAAAACAGCTAYATTGTCTTCTTTTTGCCACTCTCATTCTTTGTCTGTGTGGTATTTATTTGTCCTTTTTYCCCCCTGTTCTTCATTTTCCTGGTAAACTCTCTTCTGTCCTCACTCTCCACTTGTAGCAAGAAAACCCAATTTACAAGAGTCCAATCAATCAGTTCCAGAACCCAAGCTATGGACGTAAAGGCGCTGGCCTTTGAGTTCGTATTTCTTTTCCTCTCTGCTTGGTCTTCCTGCATGGGCTGGTTCTGTGTGACCTCTGACTTCAGTTCCCAWTTTATTTATTTCTTTGTTTGGTTTATAGGTTGTTTTTAGTCGAGGAGTATTAGGTTCAAACACGGAACAAATTTATAACAAATTGAAATTTTCAGGATATGTTCAGAAAACTGTCAAAAAAAGTCCCCAAGAATCCCCCTTGGGGTTTTTGAGAAATTAAAAACGGTGTCCAAGATGTCTGCCGGCTTCATGTTTTTTTTTTTTTCATATTTCAAGCTTAAAACGTGAAAAAAAGTGAATTAGTCAAAATATGTTTTTTTTAATGTTTTGGAAACTGAAAAATCAACTCCTGTTTCTCGAAAAACTGATGAAAATGATGATGATGATGATGATGATGATGATGATGATGATGATTGAGTGAGGCAGAGCATGTATCATGCTGTTTTATCATTTGTAATTGTGTATTTAAATCGATCCATCAATATTCAAACTTTACTCTTAAGGTTATAGTGTTATTACAGATATGAAAATTGATCATAGCACATGAGTAAAAGGTTTAGACATATGCAGAACTGCATAAGGACTTCATTATATCTTTAAAATAGTATTGAAACTGAATTCCACGACACAGAAACAAAAAAAAAACACATTTAAACTAATTATTCGCATTCTTATGAGGTTTTAAGCCTAAAATATGGGAAAATATCTTGGAGACATCTAGAATTTTTCAAAAGCCCTAAGGTGGATTCCTGAGGACTTTTAGTTTGTTATTTCTGACAGTTTTCTGAACACATCCTGAAAGTTTCAGCTTGTTATAAATTTGTTCCAGGTTTGACTCAAATTTGACATAATACTCCTGGATTATTTGTCTTATCAATCTATTTTTTTAAGTCAAGCCAAAAAAAAAAGTGTAGAGCCAGTTTAGTAGACTGGGTGAAGTTTCTGTTCAAGTTAAAAGTTTGAAACGAACTGCATGAGTGTGCTTTGACAAAGAAAACTCACAAACAAGCACAGGCTCTGTAAATATGGAGCTTTGTTTGTGCGAAAATACTAAAACCTCATCTGGTAAGTGAGTGTAGTATCTTAGTAAATATAAGACTGTTTGACACACAAGCATGGCTGTTTTAGAGAACTGGATTAAATAAATGACTTGGACATTATGAATGGAAATTAAACACTGGAAATTGTGTATTTTTGACAAATAACTTTTGTGTCATTTTTGATTAATATTCTGCACAAAGACTAACTTTTCCACTGAGGTTCGAGAGGTTTTGAATTTTAACTGCAACTTTGATGAAAAAAAAAGAAAAAAATTGTATAGGTCTTCTGGTCACTCTTTCAGAGATGAGGATGTTCTCATTCTCGATAGAGAGGAACGTTGGTTTGAGAGAGGAGTAAAAGAAGCCATTTTTGTGAAGAAAGACCGTCCATCATTAAACAGAGGTGGAGGCCTCCGTTTTCTAGCCATGTGATGTGAGTATCAGTCACATGGAGGCAGTGCTTAAAAGCCTGAATTTTGCCTGAAACTATCAGACTGAAGAAGTCTCTTGGAGGAGAGACGAAACGTTTCATTAAAGAAGAACCCGTCCAGAGGACCTATACAATTTTTTTCTTTTTTGATTTGATTTTTTTACCTGGATTACTGAGATGCATCAGGACATTTTGAACCACCTCTGCAACTTTGATGGTTTTGTTTGTGTGTGTTTGTTTTACAGGGTGAAAATCCCATCTACAAAAGTGCCGTCACAACTGTRGTCAATCCCAAATATGAAGGCAAATGATGGCCTCGTGGATTTCTCTGAACACTGATACGAAGTGTCTGACAGCTGCAATATTTACCGCTGGTTTGGCATGTGGCGTGAAGGAGAAYGTGTTTGTCTCGTTGCTTTGTAATACTGTGTATCATTTGGCCACTACGCTTGTTATTTTTTTTACTAACACATACAACATATACCCAGTGGATTTTAGGTGTACAGTATCCAGTCTRTGTATATACTTTTAGGTTGCATTTTTGCAGATATTTTTAAAATCACATTTTTTATTTCCTGCCAGTAAACTGGCATAAGCAGAGAATTAATCTTTCCTTTTTTATTTTTACAACACATAAAGGTAAATAGATCAGCTTCTGTTTCTCTTTGCTTTGCAGTGACTGTAATTTTTCTTTTTCCAAACACAACTTGAGTTTTTGAGCTTTAGCTGCACATCATGTGATATCGCTGTGTGTATATGTAGTAAAGAATTGCTATAAGAACTTCTGTTTAATGATATCAGTATAAACTGAACATTTACAGTAGATTCAGTACCTATAGATGATGCAATGGTTATAAATGTAGTTTGAAATGTCAGAAATGATATTTTTAAAATCTATTCCACTCTTATTGCATCACAAGACAAGAGGAAGGCAAGTATGAACTATTATAGGTATTATTTGTAAACAGTTCTAACAGAAAAGGGAATGAGAACCAATTACAATTATGAAATGGTCATGGGTGAACACATTGATGTAATGAAATGTATTTTTTTATTCTCAGGTCTTTTTTTTTCCTTATCAGTACACCAAAAAACATCACTTATGTGTCAGTTATGTTACTTTTGGTGTTGCTTATACTATGGACTATTTCATGGATACAGTTTAGCGCTGCCTACAGGAAGCGCCGCGCAACGGTTTGTGAGATTGTTAGGGGGCAAACAAAAGTAAACAATGGGACAGGCTATAAATGTCTAAAGTTTTGATTGTTGCTTGTATTCAAATGTTTATTTTGGTTCATAAGGTACCAACTTCTAATCAGAAAAAGGAAAACTTGTCCAGAACCTTTACCTGCTCAAATGTTGGAATCATTGCCTAAAATAGCAAACTGGACATGCAAAATAGAGGCAAGGTTATACTGTTGTGCACTAATATAATGTAATAATTATTATAGTATGGCATTATATTAAATCTCTTTTTGCCAGAGAAAACCCCAGTATACAGTGATCATATTAACAATGCTGAGCAGTGGGGCTGGATGATAAACATATAATCTATATACAGTATAATCTTGAGGCAGGCTGACCTATGATTTATTAAATGTTTAGTATGAAACCTTCTTGGCCACACATCAAATTTGGCTTAAATATTAATTCAAATTTGTGTTTTTGTTTTAACAGTGGTAAATGCATTTATTATTGTGATCTGTAGCTTTGTGTGGTGTATGTTATTGTTAATAAATAAATCATATAGAGATGTTGTCAAGTTTTAAGATAGTCCATACCTATATTTGTAATATTAAGTGGTTAAAATAATCTGTAGTCAGTAAATATGATACGCAGCCCAGATCGATGTAAACTACGTCAGCATATTTAGCGTAAGATCTACTAGACCGAGTAGCGACAATCTTGTGTTTTCATTATTCTATATATTTAAACTTATTTCCATGTATCTGTGATCATTGTTGCACATATAGACAAGTAAAACACCACGCAGCTATCTCCACGACCCATTTTCACAGTCATTTAATTCACACCAGCACCGGACGCCTCCAAACTGGACCATGATGCTTTACATTAGGCAAAGATGGCGGTATCTGCAAAATAGTCCATAGGACTGTTGTTTTGGTACTTATTTTTCTTTAAAATGTTCTCACCCAAATGCCTCTGAATTTACCACACAAGCCTTTTTTTTTATGAAATTGTTTTCAAAGTGCCTTTTTCTTTCATTCACCATGTTTTCTCCCAGTGCTGTTGACAAGATATTTATTAAAAAAACAAAACAAAAACTGTGTTTTCTCTGTGTGTGAGCAACATGTGAATGGGAATTTTGGTAAAAGAAAACGAACTGACTAACAATTCTTCATTATGATGAATTATTTCTATTTTGTTTGCTAAAGTGAAGAAGTTATTTTTTTCTACAACCTATGGATTTGTTTTCTGAACTTTTAAATTGTTGAAGAGTGAACTACYCTGATACAGTAAGTGGGTTGGATAAGCATTTAGCCTCAATGAGATTTGCTCGGTTTTGTTGCCATACCTCCTGCATTTTTAAAATTTGTTGTGGTGAAGGGGGGTCTACTTTATAGAACGGACACCATTTTGATAATGCAAAGTACGTTTGTCATGACAAAAGAAAATACAAGGAAGTCAGTATTTTGTGTCTCCACCTTTTGCAAGATTCTTCAGGTTCAACTCCCAAAAACTTGCTTCATCAAACTATTGGAATTTTTGATCATTTTTCAGTAAAAAACTGCTCCACTTCCTTCAAGTTGGACGGGTTCTGCTTGTGACCAACAATCTTTATATTAAAACAGAGATTCTCAATTGGACTGAGGTTTGAGTTTTGACTGAAACATTCCAGTACATTCAACTGGTTCTTAMACCAYTGGAGTGTTGCTTCAGCCACAATCCCAGTCTCAAATCTCTGGAAGACTCCATAACAATATTCTCCAGATTTAACTTTTGCTCCATCCATCCAGCTTTCCTTCAACTTCCAAATCCCAGCTGAAGGACAAACATCCCCACAACATGATGCTGTCACCACCGTGCTTCACTATGGGGATGATGTGGGCTCCATGAACAAAACGTTATGTTTTAGTCTCTCAGCCTCCCATCACCTTCATCCACATGTTTGGAGAGTATCATGTATCAAACTGTCTTGTTTGTTTGTTTGCTTGTTTGTTTGTTTGTTTTGCAATGTCCTAATTAAAAACAGCCATATCCTGAATGAACTAACATTTTGTTAAATACATAGAATAAAGTATGCATTAGTAGTTAAATTTTAACAAACGTACATAAAAAGGCAGGAAAACAAGCGCGGGAAATTCTAAATTTGAATTTACATAAGCCAGCTATAGACTTGAAATACTTTGCTGTCTGAAGTTTGAGACAACCGGAAATGCCAGCAGGACTTACCGGAAGTTGTTGGAGTGAGTCATCTTRCCGAATACCGAGATCCTGTCGGCTAACAGCTGAGAGGAGAGCAAGTTAAGCAACATCGGTTCTTTGTATTTTATTTGTATATAACGTGATTAGTATAGAATAGTTTTAAAGGGAAAATGGAAGACGACATACTGACAACGCTGAAAATAYTGATTATAGGTGAAAGTGGCGTCGGAAAGTCCAGGTAAGCTGAAGCTTTTCTTCAAGAAATCGATGTCGTGGCTCAATGCTAAAGCTAACCAGCTAGCAGCAATAATATTAGCTTAGATGAGGCTGTGTTTCACATTCACGAAGGGCTGCTTGCATTTTTTGTTTTGCAGTACAGGCCAAACTGTCATGTTAAACCAAGTAAAGACAAATAAAGTGCTGGCTTTGCCGAGGACACTAGGCTAGTGTAAGTGCTTATTCCTGCTGGTTAAAGATGTTGTAATCAACACATCTAGAGGAATCGTGAAGCACTCACTGCGTCTTCAGTATATTTAAGTGTTCAGTTTTGTTGCCAAATCTTTGTATACATTGGCTTATGTTTGTGGTCCAAGCTTTTTAGCCATCAACCATCAAATATTTACCGTCAGTACAGTGGGACATCCAGAGCTTTACACGGTACATGGATGAGGAGATGTCCAAAGCTCCTGGAAAATTATTTGACAAATAATTGTAGCCAAGACAGCTGTCTATAATTAGGGCTAATGACCAAGCCTCGGGTTCTTTAAATAGTTTTTGATAATAACCTTCAGTTTATCCAAGAGAGCTGAAAAAGTGACTCATTTGTATTCTGAGACTAGGTTTCCAATGCCTTGGCAAATGGTTTTTGTTTACTTGTTCACTTTAGGAGACAGTATTTGGTCTGTTCTAATTTGTGAAGAGACACTTGTTTTTTTCCACTCCTAGCTGTTCTGGTGGGGGTGCTGTAGACTGTTGTTGGTACTACCATATGTCTCCTCTTATTTATCTTGACAAATAATTTTAAATAGTCAATTCTGCTACAACCGGATCATCTTCTGATTAAAATATACAGTATTTAGGATTACTAGAATTACAGAGTAAGAGCACTAAATTACAGGATAATAAAAATCTAAAATAAAGAATTGGTTATACTTTGAACTCGATTAGTCATGGAAATGAACCCTGCCCCTGTGACAGCAGTCTGCTTATGATATCATCTGGAGCACACATGTATATGTAATCCAAGCCCAGGGTGAATTGGTCAATAAGCAGATGGATATGCAAAATGGTGACTCAGAACAGTGTCTGCCAGGCAACTGGAAATCTGACCTTAGATTAAAACTTATATTGTGAGCAGCAGAAGAAGAAAGGCTGGTCAGTTTTAAGGTCCATTTTTATTTGGTTGTATTTGAAAATGAAGTTCAATCATCATCTTCCTATCTTTTTGTCAACAGTCTCCTCTTAAGGTTCACAGATGACACGTTTGACCCAGATCAATCGGCTACAATAGGTGAGTATAAACTCATTCTAAAACGTGTTKTGTCTGTGAGAGCATTGGTGGTGATGATTGTAGATGYGGCTGGTATGAGATTTAGATACAACCTTAAGAAAATACCACTGAATTGTTTAACATTTTGCTATCAACATAAGACTGTATTATAATTTGCAACTAATAACATTTATAATCAGTGTTGCACATAAGCAGTGCGCAGGTGCGCATGCACGATCAAAAAAGAAAAAGCGCACCAGATGAAATGTCATAAAGCTTCCTTGCGTACCTAAGATTGTACGTGAGGTTGTGAAAACAGCAGCTAGCAGGGTCGCAAATGCGACCTGATTTCTTAAAAACAAAACAAAACAAAAAAATCCAGCCTCACTGGTGTGACTGGATCGTCGTACTGTCAGAGGAGAGCAGCGGGACCCTAATGTACAAGGATTAAAYGGACACTGCTTTCAACAAATCAGACAAACTCCAGAGCCATTTTAYCCAATCAGAGCAGAGCAGGGCGGGACTTTCAGTCAGCAGTTTTCAGCAGAGACAGTGGAAGCAGCGGCTGCAGCGGTCAGTCCTGACATCTCCTTCTGCACTTTGCTCCTGAACTACCAGAGACTTTAGTCTTTAAAACCTAACTTTATTTTAGATATATGTTCAGAGTGTTGTTATCCAACAGATCTGTCCAACTTTGTGTCASTGACTAAACTCTCCTCCTGAGMGACYRGAACGTGCCTCAGCGTGCGCAGGCTGTGAGTCTTTCTGGGAGATTCACTRTTCGAGTTCTTCTAAAGCATTTTACCTCTRACAGAAGAACATTTATTTGCCCCAYATCAAAGCAAAGATGAGTCTCTGTTTAACGTCACCCCACCCCTCCATCCAAAAAAAATAAAAATAAAAACATGCCATGTTCTCTGGGTGAATGAGTTTTAAATGCTATTTTAATTTATCAGAAATATCCATAAATTTCATTCTTCACAATTTTACGGTAAGAAAAAGGTTCTTGATGTGCTAAACATGTTTATATTTAGATTCATGTTTATATTTAGATTCATACTGTGACACAGCTGCTCTGGGATAAATGTAATTCAATAAATGATAAAATACAAATAATAAATCATTTTAAATGATTACATGAGCTGAAACTATCTAAATATAATCTTTTTGAGTCAAATAGTCTTTTAAAAAAAGAAACTAGCCTAACAAATAAAACATTTGTTCTGTGCAAAAGACAGATATTTGCTGCTTGGTGTGGAGAGTGTGGAAAGCTGGTTTAAAGAAGGCCAAACTAAAGGAGTTGTCCATCTCAGGGTCATGTGTAATCTAACAGACATTTAAACATGAAATGTTCATTTTGAGATTACCTATGCCTATGGGTCAGCCCATTGGCCACTTAGGTAGTATACAAAATGTATGCAGGGTAAAATAAAAATAAAAACAAAATAAAAACTCTAATTTGCCATGATCTCCCGAGACATTGCCAGCTGATAGAAGGCATCATAAAACAGAACAGGGCGATAATAAATGCCCTGACACCCCTCCAGATAAATGTGTTAAATGAGTTAAGGAAAATATGAGCACCAAGCAACAACCCTAGKTTCTCCCCTGAGAACCAGACCAAAAATGTTTTATGTGCAACCCTGTTTATAATATCTGTTTGTAGTTATATWAAATTTGCAAGAGAACACAAGTGGATGTGTTGACAGTAACTCTTCTGTAAGTTCAGTGTCACGTTTCATCGAACGACCACAGACTTTAAATTTGTTACTTCATTACGTCATTCTCCTCTTTATAAAGTAGGGTTAAAAGCCTGTCAGGTTGATGTGAGCTAGTTAAATAGCCAGTTAGGCTGCAGCAGTCAGTATAGTGTTTATTTTGTCATCAAACCTGAAGTCGGACATGCTTGAGGCATAGGAGACGCAAAGGATATAAGGAACWGTTTACACAAGAACAATATCTGGAAAAGTTTTTCAATGTTGATTGTGGTGAATCAACAATAAAAAAAAACGTTTACTTAGATTCACTGTAGTTTCCATACCAAGCAGGGTTCCCAGATAGGAAATGGTAAAATATTGTAAATATACTTGTAGTTTGTTAAAATAACTGAACACCACTTTGGTTAACACTGAATACCTCCAAAATGTCAGCTCATCYTGGATTTTTAGAATTTATGACATCAATAAAAATGCCGTATTACACTATGCAAAATGCTAACGCTCATAGGTTTTTGTAAACATTTGTTTCAAAACAGTCTTTTTTTAAATTTTTTAATAGTGAGTTAGTTTAATCATTCCTCCTTTAGATGGGTCATGACTGGCTGTATTTTTGCTACTGAAAACATTTTTTAAAAAGYTGAATTAATTTTTTGAACAACAGAAAAAGTTTGAGGAATTTTTCTTGTCGCCGTCGCACAACTGAGTACAGCCCTGCACTACATGTGACTGGTGAAAACTTTGAACTATCATGGCCATCTCACTAAAAGTAATTTAAACCACAGAAACAGAATGAGGGGGGAAAAGTGTGACTTTTGACACCATGACTTTTTAAGATTGTGGTATTTCTTGAAACTAAAAATTARTCCATACCTAGTTAGATGCATTTTTTTTCAAAGCTGAAGTTTTAAGACCTAAACAATGGGTTAATTTTCTTCTAATCCCCCCCCCCCTTTTTTATGAAAGACTTGCTTTCTTTTGTAAAACAGCCAAAAACAAATTTTGTAGTGTTGAAGACAGGTGACAGGAGACAGATGTCGTTTTTGTCTGAGAACTTCATATTTTTATTAAAGTGAGTTCTTCTCTTTGACTCAACATGGATTTGTTTAAATTTGGTATCCATTCACCCCAGGTTGGTAGGATGTTCACATTGGCAACATCTTTGTTGGCATCTTGTCTGACTGACACATAACAGTTAAAACTACACGTTGTTCAAAAAGGGGAAATGAAGACCTTAAAAAGTAACATAGACAGATCATTTCTACCAACCACAACTCTTTAGTGTTTACATCTACTTAAATACATGCTGTGATGCCGCGGGYGCATTTATAAGCTACGGTGTAGGTCTGTTTACAGATTTGCCATAAACAAGTTGGCCTGCAGAAACCAGCTCAGCTTTGACTTCCCATGGTTGTGGCAACCTTGTTGTGTTGTGATATTACAAACAGATGCTGTAGTGTACACTCCACTGGAATAGTCTGTCTAGATGTGTAATGAATTACAGCACCAGTGATTGTTCCAGATTTAGGAGGATGTTTAGTTTAAACAATCTGAGCAAAGCTGGGGCCTGACCGTTAGCTGCTTAGGTTTGGAGATCAGTGTCACATTCAGCTGATAAGTGAGACGCACGTCGCAAATCAGATGGATTTGCTAACTGTTGTACTCAGTGATCAAGCAAGTACTACTTTCAGTACAAGCCAGTAATAATGTATTACTCTGCATTTAATTAGTTCAAACGCAGTAGAAACACGTTCTGGAGTGATCCAAACTCAGAGGAACCAGTACATATTATCACTGTCACTAGTAGGGCTGCCACAACCGATTATTTTTATAATCGACTAATCACCGATTATTTTTTCGATTAGTCGACTAATCAGATCATACGTTAATTGAATATAAAACATACAGCTTATCGCGCCAGAATGCAGCTGCTATTGTATAACTATCGTTAGATTTTAGCTATATTATAACTAAAAATAACTGCTGTGGAAGGCAGGTTCTGCTCTGCAGATATTGTACAGGTTTCTCTTTCCTTTTCTTTAAATGATCCCACACTTTTGAGCTCCGTTGCTGGGTAGCCATGATACCAGAGCCTGTCTGTAAAATGTCTTGTGACGTCCACGACCTACCCCAGTTACCACTACTGTGCATGTATGTCAAGGACAGAAAGGCAGATGTGGCAGTGGAAGGTGTCAAAGCAGTTTRGAGAGAAAAACAAAGTAAAGAACAACAACAAAAACAGAAAACGATTAATCGATTATTAAATTAGTCATCGATTATTTTAATAACCGATTAGTCATCGATTAATTGTGGCAGCCCTTGTCACTAGCCATATTTGAGCCGGTGAATGATCTTTGGACTTTGCGAGTTGGAATTGTGACTTCGGGGAGTGTTCCAGTTCATTTTCCAAACTAGAAATCAGAACTTGCCTTTTCTCATTTGTTACTTTCTGAGTTTAACTGTTCTGCTTTTACTGAGAGGCATCCTCATCAGAGATAATACAAACAAGTGCTTATTTAGCCTAAATTGGCTGATTGCTGTGATTTTTTTTTTTGTTAACCACTGATGAACAAGGATCCCTGCATGTTTGCTGCTTTCATAAAGCAGCTCCACAATATATTTATATCGATGTGTTGGTTTTTATTCATACTACACACATTTAAGCTGTTATTCAGTCTGAACTTTCACATATTGATTATTAAAACAATTATGCCTTATATTCATTGCCTGTCATCAATTCGCTCTTTGTTCTCCACTTTCCCTCTTCTGGTCTGAACCGATCTCCCCTCCCTGGTCCCAGGTGTCAGTACATGCACGTCACAAGTGCACATTAATCTGGTAACTCTGTCAGTGGATGCTAGGAGTCAGACTGATCTGACATCCAGACGCCACACGTTCTGTACAAAAACAACAAAGTAGCTGTGCTTTTTTCAAGTGAAGGAGGGGTGGACTCGTCACTTTCATGTAAATGTCTGGTCCACTGGGGCCTTAGTGGGATTTTTTTGGGGGGCGAATATTCACTGAGCCTTCTAACAGGTGGTGGGATTTTTTTTTTTTTTTCACTTTAGGCCTGTATTGTTTTTAGTTCAGGACATGAACCCACAGTCAGTCATATGAATGCACAGTCACAGCATAATTTATCTAAAAGACATGGGATGGGCACGATGCCCGTCTGAGCAGCATGGGTTACCAAAAGTTCAGCCAGTGTGTGGTAATGTGTGTTTTAATAATTCATCATTAGTAATTATTGTCTGTCCGCCTGATATGATATTCTTGGCAGTAATTGATCAAACCTGTAAGAGTCATCATGCAGGGTGAGGTAATTGTGTCCATTTTTCTTGTCTAGGCGTTGACTTCAAGGTGAAGACCCTTTCTGTGGATGGCAACAAAGCAAAGCTGGCCATATGGGTAGGTTACAAACTTAATGAACTTGTCATCACTTAATAAACACTAATTTAAACAAACTCTTTTCTGTCAAAAACAGACTTGTCAGGTTCATCTATAGCGCCACGCAGGCTCGCTAGTTGTTCTTTTTAGCCGCCACAAGATGGCGCTTTTGAATCATTGTTTCTGCCTGTTTATCCTCATGTCCACCCACTTGTTTTGCAGGACACTGCTGGACAGGAGCGCTTTCGAACCCTAACACCAAGTTACTATCGAGGCGCCCAGGGGGTCATCCTGGGTAAGTAAAGCTCTATCATGCATTAAACCTGTGTATGTGCCTCACATATGCCTATAGTGGTCTTCACTAAAGAGGTCAACCTAAATATAGTGTTCTTGACAAAGTTAGCCATGATGGATGTATTTGTTTCTTAAAAATCAAGTGTAATTTAATTGATGGTAAATTAACAATTTAAAGACAATAAACCACATAAAATGCTTATTAAAGTTTTTTGTTCCAATAAACAAATGTAGGTTTTAGAAGCCCTCTTGTCTTTTTTTTTTTTTTTTTT